GTGATTATCCCCACAGAGGGCCCGATCACTGTCACTCGGAGAATGAGAAGAGCTGATCGTCATTCAGGAGGACCTGGGGCTGCACTTTAGGCTGGATCCACGTTAGCAAATCTGACATCCCCGATGGTGGGGCTCCTCTTCTCTGTCCCTTAGAAGCACACTGGGCAAGTCCTTCTCTCAGCTGAGTTAAGCCATTCCACGAGTTTGCTCTCTGAAAGCATGTGAGTGTTTGTGTTCCAACAAGGAAGGTTTTTAAAACAATTGTAAACTTTATCTGTTAATAAAAGTATTTTTTTCAAAGTTCCAGTTCCTTGTGAGCCTGGATGGTGGAGGTCAGCTGTCACAAGGCAAATGTGGACATGCTCTAGAGCTCGCACCTGAAAGCTATATATTGGAAACATTTAAATAAGCCAAGGGAGTTCTTTCTAATGGTTGCATTTTTTTCTTTATGGAGCAGACTTGCCTTTGTGCACACCCAAGAGCTCCTCCATGCATATTTTCAAGCATTTGTACATGCCATACGTGTTCTGATGATCGTCAAGGAAACACAGTTCCTTCCTTAGAGTGTGCTTCTCAATGCTGTTCTTTCAAGACCTGAAATCCACAGAACAACTGCTTTCCTTGGGATGTAACAGGTATAGGAGCACAGCTGGGTGCCTTATTTCTAGATTTAGGAGCTCACAGCCACTTGAACTCAACTCTCGGGAAGTGCTGACCTATGGGACATCATCTTGTGCCTTCATCCTTTTCTTTTCAATTGTATAAATCATTACTGGCTTGCATGCTGTGCCTGGGGACACAAATGGGAGATCACACGAAAATGAGCACCTCTTCACACGAGGCAGAGTGCACTATGTTCTCCAGGAGGCAAATACAAGGTGGGCGCTGTGGGTTTCAGAGGAGTAGGGGCCAACCTGAGCTCACTTACGGCGACTTGTAAAGACTACCAATGGGGAGTCTCGTGGGGAGGGTCAGCACTGAAAAATTACACTGTGCTCCTGGGTCAGCTAGTTCTGTTGGCTGAGATTTGTGGTTGGTATCAGAAAGGCATAATGATATGCCTTTCATAATGATATGCCATAAGATATGGTTGACATGACCCATCAGAGCCATGCTCTCCCCATGGAGCCACATGTGGTCAGGAAGAACCTGGCTTCTGAGTAAAGGGAGAACTCCTCAGGCTACTTCCGGAAGAATAATGCTATGACCAAAGCCAGACTGCAGAGGTGAAATGAAGGAGTTGCAAGACTGGTTGAGGGGCGGAGGTCAGCTAAGGTTTAGGGGTGCTAACACTGAATGATGATGCGAGGGTGATGACGATATGTGGGGGGATGTGGGATCTCAGAGATCCAGGGAGTGAGGACTAGGAGGTGGCAGGTCTGTGACAGGGCAGGCTTGGAGCTGGGCTCGGGGATGGCAGTGACCTCCCATAAGCATGAGTCGGGCATCTGAAGGAGGACTGACTTTGGAAGTGGGGTTCAGTCCTAGTGTGTGTCATTTAAGGCACTTGTGAGCTCAGATCTGAGGGGCCATGGCTGGCAGTTGGAGGCAGGTTCTGGGCAGCCAGATAAAAGCAGGAGAGGCACCTGGAAGGCTTTTGCCTGGAGCTGGCCTAGGACGCCTGGGGAATGGGAATGCTGGCTGCAAGGGAAATGATTCCCTGCAGCTGAGGGGGAGGCTACAGAGGGGACCAGCTGACCCAGTGGGGGTGAAAGACAAACAAAGCTGCAGGAGAGCTGGTCATGAGGTTCCCAGAAGCCACATAGCAGGGACAGTGGCAGAAGGAATTCAGGATGTGACCCAGGGCCAGGCTTCAGCAGGAAAGGATTCAGACCTCCTGCTGGAGTGGGAGCTCATGGAGGAGGTTGGCTTCATGGGTTGTAGGCCATGGTGGGCAGAGACTGTAGAGTCTAAAGGATCACGGGAAGGTGGGAAGTGTACTGTCACACTCCTGGACTCCCAGCGCTCCGGTGGGCGAGACTGCTGGGTGGTGACTTCGGAGCCATCCTGGGCTACACAGGAAGACCCTGCCTCAAGAAAAGTCATTGCATGAGAGCTATGGCTGTGGTGGAGCCTGTCACTACTGTCACACTGAGGCTCGGATCTAGAGGCAGGGAGTATGATGAGGCCAGTCTTTGCAGAGCAGCCTGCAAA